CTCTCTCATTCGCCTTCTTCAAAATGAAAATAGCAATTATTTATATATGTATGCAAATCATATTAAGGAAGCGTTTATGCAACGTAGCGCATTATTATTGTGAATATATAGAAATATGCTCTAGTTATTGTGCACATCATACCTTTTGTATTGTAATATATATTGTACATGGGCCTGTGGCCTTTCTACTGAATAAAGTTATATATTGTACATAACATACATATTGTATATAACCACGTGAATATTTCATTTATCGCTACTTGGCAAGGCAGCTGGTGTATCTGGCACGAGGGCCTCATACACAATGTTTGCTGCTCATACACATCACAAAGAAACAGGACTTGACCCTTATGTTGATTAAAATGATCGTTGTAACGATCAAAAAAGACAACAATAAGGCAAAAAGACAAAGCATCATTAATCTCGTGTGAATTTCCAAAGTAATCGAGACTTTTAACACAAGTGTACAACAACAAGCACTTAACAATTAGACTCTGTTGCCTAACCACCTGTTGATCGGGATGTATTCGCACGCCGTGTATGTGGTATTGCAATAATTGGTTCGTTCAGTCAGTCTGCCAACTGGATCGCTGAAACATAAGTTAGTAAAGCACGCACTGTATCAAGGTAAACTGGCAGATTGGCCAGGACTAATTGGGAAGTATATCCCATGGACACCCGTGACACAAACATTGAGAGATCACGCACCTTGCGTAGACGTAAAAGCTACATGAGGACAAAGCCTTATTGATTTCAACATTGTCCATAATTGTTAACTGTGCCTCACTAGCAGAATATTTGTACCATGGTTATTCCGGTAACGGATATTTATCATCCTAAATTATACTCGCGTCATCACATTTATTTCTTTACTGAAGTTATTTTAGTTAATGAATTTTGGTTTATTCGTTCTTTCTTTCGTTCAGTTCGTTCGTTCGTTCGTTCGTTCGTTCGTTCGTCTCATCTCATCATTGTGCGATTGTGGGATGTAGTTTACATGATGAAGTAGACTAGGTTTTGTCTGAGGTTTGACCAGGGAAACCGCGCTAACTGACACTTGTCAGCGGGTACACTTAGTACGTCAGCTTCGGTTGCCGAGTCGGTTACGTCTCTAACTTTGTGCTCGATATTTGATTCGTCGCAGTGTGGGTTCGAATCCCACATGGGACCTAATAAGAACATTTCATTTGAACATGGTGAGTTTTCTAATTAAATCATTTCTTATCTTGATGTTCACTGATGCTGCTACACGTGACTTGTGTTTTACTTCAGAAAATAATTCATCGTCTGAGTTCACGCTCTCTGAAATATTCAAGTCTCTCAAGAGCTTGAGGTTTTCTTAAGGCTTCTCATTACCCCTGAATTCTACGTACATATTAAATATCCTATATCTCAGTAGTCAATGGGGGCGGTGGGGTAGCCTAGTGGTTAAAGCGTTCGCTCGTCACGCCGAAGGCCCGGGTTCGATTCCCCACATGGGTACAACTTGTGAAGCCAATTTCTGGTGTCCCCCGCCGTGATATGGCTCGAATATTTCTAAAAACGACGTTAAACCATACTCATCCAGCCAGTAGTCAATGGTGGGGTTTAATCGCATCTTGAAAGCTGAGGTTGATCCCAGATTTTGGAGTCGAGGTATTATTGTTCCACTGTACAAACTGAAAAGACCATAATACTATCGAGAAATTTCTCTTTAAATGTTATGAGTTAAATGTGTAAAAGCACACGGGTAGTGTACAACACGCAGAATATTAGTTCAACAGTCGTTAACACAGAAGAATATTTCCCGTTAGCAATGGCACTTTTATTGTGCCTCTATAAACTTTATAAACAGCTGTTGATGTCCTGGCTATACATACGTTTGGTTGAGTGAAGAATGGTGTGCATGGAAAATTCTACGATGTAATAAAAAGTATTTATGATGATGTACTAAGGTCATAATGCATAAAAGTGGTAAACATTGTCTATATTTTTCACATGTTGTAGTGGAATTCGACAAAGTTAATGACGACGAGCTTAATGAGATAATGTTCTAGATACTTTTGACGATTGATGTGATGGTAGGATAATCCAGATTACTTAACCTACTAATTTTATAGTGAAAACATGTATTCTCCTAATCGTATTCGCAGTAGATGACCAAGGGAGGCATTTATCAAGCAGGTGCGTTCATCTGCACGTACGTCGCTCAGTAGACTGAAATAAGGAGCCTACTTTGAGGTATAACCGATCGACTGACAGCACGTCAAATATACGGATAAGATACTCCTCCATCTGAAATTTAGCCAGGGACTCTTGGTATTCTTCAAAGCCATTTCTAATCACAAAAGCCACCCAAAGGACATGGGGTCAGGTGTGAAAATTCGGCCAAAGTGATAGATAAGGTTTTGACAGTAAGGACTTATTGTCCAATTAAGTTCTGGAAAAGCAGACAAAATTGCGTTGTTTCTGCTCAAAACTCCCTTCCGTTAATTCACCAGCAGTTCCCTCCTGATCTTTGTTTCTCCTTCCAACTTTCAAATGTGTCAGCACCATGTTTTCGACTCCTACACGCAAGGCGAACACCTACACCACACTCCACCAGGACTGTTACACAAGCCCCACTGCAGGACACCCATCTCCTTCACTCCCCCACCAGGGCCATTACACAACCCCCATTGCAGGTCACCCATCTCCTTCATCATCCACCAGGACCGTTACACAACCACCTCTGCAGGACATCCACCTACATCACACTCAATCAGGACAATGACACAACCCACCTACTGTAGTATATCAAACTACAATCCACGAGGACACCGAATCAATCCCCCCTGCAGGACAAGCGCCTCTACCGCAAACTGTGCAAATCCACCTTCGACGTCCAGCCCAACACCTACCCCAGTATTATTGCAAATTCTTACCAGTCGTTCGCCTCCTCCTCTTTTCATCAACAACTGGTGCACCCGCTGTCTCATTGCGATAGGTGTCCGTTACCTCACGAGTGTAACGATCCGATAAGACAGACACAGTATGTGTGTTCTGGTATAATGCAGCTCCTAATCCTCTTGTGATAGTCACATTGTACAGGTAACTGCAAATCCTTTAGTGAGTGAGTGAGTGAGTTCAGTTTTACGCCGCTTTTAACACTATTCCAGCTATATCACGGCGGGGGACACCAGAAATTGGCTTCACACATTGTAACCATTCACAGATAAATATTCAGATTCAATGGAAAGGATTCAAATGACGTATTTTAAAAGATTTCTCAAAATTGGAACATTTGCTTCTAACAAGGCTATCCTCGGTGAACTTGGTCGTTATCCAATGTATGTTTTCAATCAGATCAAAGTAATTAAGTTTAGGTTTAAAATGTTACACATGAATCAACAACGTTATCCCATACAGTGTTATAAGATGCTTAAAACTTTTGACGATATGGGCAAAATTAATTGGGTGTCAAGTGTGAGATCTATTTTATTCAAAAACGGATTTTCAAACCAAGGTGTTGGCGATGTGCAGCTATTCATCTTAACCTTCGAACAACGCATCAGACTGACAGACTGAGTTTGGTTTTACGCCGCTTTTAGCAATATTCCAGCAATATCACGGCGGGGGACACCATCAGAGATATAGCCTACCAGACTTGGCATAATGATATTTGCAGCTCAACGTTTCTCAGCCACTGTTCACAATTTAAATATGACCTTCACTTGGAACCGTACATCACTGAATTGAAAAACAAATACTTAATACGTGCGTACTGCAAATTTCAAATTTCCCATAACAATCTGAAGATAAACAAATTTAGATGTAAAAAGGACATCCCCATAACAGGATATTTGTTCACTATATGTAATGCATTGGAAGTTGAAGACGAGAATCATGTCTTTTTTTAATGTAAATATTACGAATGTTGGCGAGAAAAATATTTGGTACAACTTCGAAAAGTGTATAAGGGTCCACTAACTTTAGAATCTATTTTCAAATCAAGAAACAGTCAGGTAATATATTTCACTGCTTTATTTCTGCATAATGTATTCCAAACAAGAGCTTGATCCATTTGACCACTGTACATCGATTTATACAACAGTATAACTGTATTATAGGCCACTAGGCCGATATTACGCAAATAAACTGTCTGTCATGTGGGGAATCGAACCCGGGTCTTCGACGTGACGAGCGAACGCTTTAACCACTAGGCTACCCCACCGCCCCAGCAAATCCTTTAACACATATGCATACTTATGCCTTTGGTTTGGGAGAGTGCGTCTGTAGAAAAGTCAGACGTTGTTTATGATAAAGCAGTCATGCAGATATACGTAAGAAACAGAAGTCATTTTACCTTTGAATTAGTGCCGTATAACCTGGCTTGTGTCACACACATTTGACGTTGTGCGAATATAAGACGTTATGCGAATACAAATAAACACAACGTTTGCAGAGCCCTTGGTCCCGAATAAGGTATTGCTCATAAATCAATCACTTGCCTGTACGTTCCCATGATTTACGTGCTTGAGAGCATGCACATGTAAACAATCACAACTAATATGCACAATGCATAATAAAGAAAAAGGATATAAACTGTAGTAATATTTGAAGCCGTATCATAACGTTCAATTTTCTGCACAAAGCGATCCATTGTAACTTTTTCTAGTTCGTGATTTTAGCAAAGGCATGAACATGTATGTAACACATAACGTGGTTCAATTAGCGTCCCAAAAAAAACCTCTTACTCTATTACTCTATTGTGACAATGAAAAACACTTCTTACCTTGACAAAATTCATCTGTTTACGTCAACGCATTTTTAAAATCAGATCTAACTGTTTTTATATCATATACACATCCAGAAAAAGCATATCATTCTGTAAAGTAATCTGAGTTTGTGCCCAATCACCGCCTACTTCTAACAAATTATTGTTCACCTTCACTTGTATCGGTGGCGGCCATAAAACAGATTTATTGCAGCAGAGAACTATATAAGAGATCGTCGACTGAAGCACATCACCACTTGTTCCAGACATCCAAGATGGCATCTCTCGTGGTTGTTCTCCTGCTATTCGCGAGCTCAGTCCAACTGTCCTCCTCGAAACAGGTCCCTGAGGACTCGGTCCAAGAGCTATACGAGGTAGCCAGCAGCTATTCGGAGTGCACCAACATCAACCGGAGAACACTGCGATATGCCAGAGGCATCGTTTTGGTTGTGAGAAGCGCATGCAGGAAGGATGAGGACAGTTTCCGGGCGGCCTTGAACAAACTCCAATGTTCTGACATAACGAGTGCCGTCTCTCGATACTGTAGTCGAAGATACACCAGGTCTTGGGCAATCAATTTGGTGTGTCGGTTTGTCAGGAAAGTCAATGAGCGCTGTGAAGAAAGCGATGACAGTTTGTGTCAACACGCAATAACAACTACACCTGAGCCACCGACAACGACAGCAGAGGTACCTACAACTGACCCGCCTACAACCCCACCAACACCACCAACCACAACCGAAGTTCCTACACCTAACCCACCTACAACCCAACCGACCACCACTTTGTCAGGACCAGTCCTGCCAGAAATTGCGGATAAAACATTCTGTAAGTATTTTTGTCTGTTTGCTACACTTGAAGATTATGTTTAATGCATTCTCTAACACGTCCGGCGTACATGTTGTAAAGGCGGGTAAATAGTCTCAAATCCGCCATTTTTTTATGACGTAATCACACAAGTGTGTGACCTTTGTGTGACCTAATCGATTTAGACAGTGAGTTATGTACCTTTAACCCCCACCCTCCTTTGGGTTGAGTCCCCTTCCGGCCCAGGTGTGTGTCACCGTTAGGTTGTCCTTTGTGGTCTTCATAACCCAGATGAGGGCAAGTACGCTGATAATACCTGAAGGGACTCCCGAGATCGTTATGTAGCCTCACCCATTCTGAAGGTTATTGTTTTAAATATTGTCTTTGATTTGTATGGACTTTGTATTGTATATTGCTTTTTATATCTGTATAAATAGCATGATGCATGTGAATCATGTTCAGTTGTGTTTGAGATGGCAATTTGGGAAGAGTACTTGAATAGGAACTATTATAATCCCAAACATCCTGGTAGTTATGCTGGACCCAAGAAGTTATACCAAGCTCTGAAAGCGGAGGGTCAGTTTATAATTGGATTACATAGAATTGAGAAATGGTTGACAAGTCAAGACACCTATACCATGACTCATCAAGTTAGGAGAACGTTTCCAAGAAATGAGAATGTGGTCGAAGGTCTTGATAGGCACTGGCAATCAGATCTCATGGATATGGTTTCACTGGCAAAGTACAACGATAATGTGAAGTATTTATTAGTCATCATAGATCCATTTTCGCGTTATTTGAGGGTACTTCCGCTGATGTCAACTAAAGGTCAAGAAGTGGTGAAAGAATTGATAGGTCAAAATGGCGGATTTGAGACTATTTACTCGCCTATACAACACGTACAGCTGATTTGCATGAATTTATTGTAGGATAACGTTATGTCATTCTGATTTCGGCTATTATCCAAATTATGTAGCATTGGAGACTGGTATGTGTTGCTCCTGTGAAAGGTTACAAAAAGCATTGTCAAACGGTGATGTACTATTTTCCATATGAATTCACAGTAACTGCTTGCCCACAAGAATGTGTCCGCAACGATCTGGTCGGTTCGCTGTGTACTGGAGCAACGCTTTCCGACGAATGTAACAACCTTCAACCTCCGGCGACTGACGGCTCGTACACCTGCTGTTTGGGTTAACAACGGTAAGCCTTAGAATGGCATAATTACATAATTCGAAGTTATCAAACAAAATCCGTCATAAATCGACTGGAACATGTTCATGCGTCAAAACATTACCGAGAAAATATGTATCAGATCCAACAATCAGACGACTGAAATGGTGTCATGTAGAACCAATTATAAAGTATATATAGTTTTGTCACTCTACTTAACTGTTGATACCCACATAGAGAAGTTTTCATTTTGTTCATACGCCAAGGCAATATATGCCTCAATTTGTTTGTGGCTAGGAAGAGTTGTTTTGCTCACCATTTCTAGTTCAATATTCAAATACGGATAGTGAACATTGCTGATTGGGATAATCTAGTCAGTTTACGGATAATTTTAAGTTTGGATAAATTGTGAAAAAACGTTTTTCTTGAAAACCTTTGTAGTTTATACAATACACAATGTCAGCGGGTGGTCATGCTCGCTGACTTGGTTGACACATGTCATCGCATCCTAATTGCGTAAATCGATGCTCGTGCTGTTGATCACTGGATTTCCTGATCCACACTCGATTATTTACAGACCGCTGCCATACAGCCGGAATATTACTGCGTGCTGTGAAAACTGAAGTCACTCAATCACTTCATAAAGATTTTACATTGCCTTGATTGTCTCCAATTTGTGGAATAATTCCGGTTTCTTTCGTGCCTGTTCAAATACATGTGCGGTAATGTATGTCTCTGATGATACAGATTTTGGGTAGGCTTACTAAGAAAATGAGTGATTGGGTTTGGTTTTCGGCCATTTTAGCAATATTCCAGCAATATCACGGCGGAGACACCAGAAATGGTCTTCACACATTGTACCCATGTAGGAAATCGAAGCCAGGTCTTTGGTGTGACGAGCGAACCCATCGCCCCAGAGTTACTAAGACGTTCACTCTATTTTTTTTGAAGATGATGAATATGTTTGTAGTCAGCAAAACCTTGAAGTGAGTATACAACTTAATTAGGTTTCTATATTTCAGTGAGCCCTTCACATGTCAACCGAACGCTGAACTCCATCCGAATTTGAAAAGTAAAACAGGATCTTCTTATTGAGGAGAGTCTTGTCCGTATGCAGACTGATTGTGGACATCAATTGCCAGCAGTGAAGTCCAGCCTGTGCTGCAACAGCACTGTCAGCATTGGCAGAAGCCATGGTAATTATCACAGCATCGTTGCAGCAAATATCATTGTACATCTCGACACGAACTCTTCTCCTTCGCCAGCCTTCCAAAATGAAAATAAAACTGGTAATGCAGCAATATGTTTTCTGTTTTCACTTCATGTTATATAGTGCCCAGTTTACAAAACAGCAAACCAAGATAGCCTTACACTTTGTACATCTTTGAGCAGGACTCATCTGGATATAAATCTCTATATATTATCTGTGACTCCAACATGCTGTTAATTTTCACATGTCATTGAAGCCGTTTAGTCATGGGAAACTAGACAATAAATTGTGATTAATTAGCAATTCTGATAGTGATTTAATGTCATCATGTATAAACTAAGAAATATCTCCTCTTCTATCGAAATACGACTGCCATAAGGGCTATTCTTGTTTTAACGTTATGGCACTGTTTTCCTACTGGTGACAAAAGTCCTATTGCAGTTAATGAGCAGTTACGTGATGGAATCAATACCAGCTGGGCGGTTTCAAATGATGCCAAAGATCGTTCGATGATACGCCTGGAATCATTTGTAAATTTTCGAAATATTTACAATTTTGGAATTTGAACAAGAGCAGAAACAAAATCATGTTGTGATTAATACTGTTACGGTAAATTTCTACCCGAGGGCGTCTGACCAGTACGGTATATCACATTCCGCATCTCTAGTGTGTAACAAAGTGATCTGTTATCACTTCTCACGCTGAAGCTTAATTACGTCAGAGTTGAAAGGCTTTAGGACATGAGTATGATGTAGATTATGTTTTTGCTAATGCACACCTCATACAGCAGCTTGTATATCAGTGGAGTGGCAATGTAATATGGGATTTAATCCGGACTAATATATTACAAAATGCAAAGAGATACAAATGTGGACAGAGACAGAGAGAGACAGACGAAGAATACAGAGATGGGGAGGGAGAGAGAGAGGAGGAGGCAGTCACCTTGCATCTTCCATTTCAAGACCTATCCAAACTTCGATCCATAGGACACCCACCTTAACTACAACGGGAGCTTATGTTAGCAAGGGTTGGTTATGCGGGATTGCATGCGACCTTCGAATCCGGTTTTGAGACGATATACACCTAAGGCTTTGAAGGAGGGTTTGGGTGTTTTAGTGAGCTTCCGAGTGTTTGTAGTGTTAGGTGTGTGTTTGTGTCCAGTGAATTCTGCAGCACTATTAGGGGGCATCGTGGGCGAGCTGTCTAAGGCGCCGCGCGAGAAAGTGAAAAGTGCTTGGACCCATCCCCACTTGTACAACCCTGTGCACTTAAAAGAACCCACTCATCCGATGATAACACGTATTGACACCTAGTTACGGGTATAGTAACGTGCAGTATCATTGGACGAAATAGTGTGACTATGTGTCCCAGTTCACCCAGCTGCACATGGGTAGCTTGTGAGGATGAGGCTGTGTGATAACTCGCTGAATATCCACCAGGGAGCTGAGCTGGTTAAAAAAAGAATCAAGGGAACACTCCAGCGCCTTGGGCATGTACTAGTTGCATAGATATGTGAGCTTTTTAAATATCATATAATAATATTCTGTTTTGTGGGTCGCATGTGCGTTGTGTAGGACGCGTTCACGCGTTCCTTTTTTTGTTGCAGTGTGTGCATCTGTCTGTTTGGTGTTGTCTTTTGTTGTTGTTGTTGTTGTTCTCGGTTTGTTTGTTGTTGTTTTGTTTTGTTTGTTGTTGTTGTTTGTTTGGTTTTGGGTTTTTTTGGGGGGTATGCGAATTTTGTTTGATGTGACTGTTTGTAATTTGGTTATCGCCCTGTCAATATTTTTAGATTTATGGTAGTTTTTTGTAATTTTATTGTAGTTGGATGGTTTTAGGGATAGATTTTCTTGTTTGGAAATTGGTATTTTACTTTCCCACTTTTGGAAGGCTGTTTGTTTCAATCAGTTTTGATTTCTTTCTTAAATGATGGTATGTTTAAGTTACGTCTGGGAGTTTGTTTGGCATGTTTGTTGCAAAACACACCAGCGCGGTCAAGGATCCACACGAACTCGACCTTTTCGCCTTAGGCGTGTAGACCCTGAGTTGTCTTTTGCATTTCGTTTATTAGTACTGTTTATGGCAGTTTTAGGTGTTTTTGTTTTTTATTGCTTGGAGACCGCTGAGTGAATCTGTAAGAATTCAAATGTTATTGTGTTGTTTGGGCACATGGAGTGCTCTCGGTATGTCGTGAAAATTGATAGGCTGTGTGGAGTCTGTATAATTTAGTAGTCTAGAGGGTTGTGATGAGTAGGGTGCGTGACCCAAGTCAAAAGATCCAACTGTGTAAATGTGGCACCGATTTGGCCAGTGTTCATGTATGTGAGCTAATGGTTTGTCTGTTTTTTGTTTGTTGATTTATTTCGGAAGATGATAAACTGGGAAACAGTTAGCTTTATAAGTACATGTGAAATAAAAACAGTCATCAGACGACAGCAATGGAATGCAGTAGTTGATTAGCGCTAAATTTGTAAGGGGATGGACAAATGGAAGTCAGGGATTATTAATCCAGGCATCGGTAATGAGATAACAATGGTGGCATATAACAAGGGAGCCAGCAGTGAATGGAGCTGATCGGAAATGACAATAAGCAAATATTAGCCAGAGGTTAATCCAGGGTCAATTGATGACATTGTATTGA